CATGGATGAGAAGTTTCTCTGTGACCTGTGTGGTATCACTTTGAGCACTGTGAAAATCTTCCAGTGACATGTTGCTACAGTACATAAACCTCCTGTAAGTTTTATTGCCTACTTATTTACCTGTTTCAGCCTTGTATGAAAGAGTTCATGATTAAGTTGCATCCATTTGCTTGAACTGTATAACTTAACTGTTGGTTTTCAATGTTGTGTTATTTGTTGCAGCAGCCAGCATGTCTGGTTGGTGGCTGTCTGGATGACTCCACCCACATGTCATCAAGGCAGCTGCAGCTGCACCTGGCTGATAAGCACGGCTTAGGGTACAAGTTGGAAGAGCTCAAGTTCCCTTCCTATGAAGGTAAGTGAAATGTTATTTCAAGCAAATAATGTCATGCAATCAACTTCAAGTCCACAATGCATAGTGCAACTATCATTAACAATAACCGGAGAACTTCTGATTCTAATCACAGCTGCACTTTCTTAGGCAACTGTTAGGTGTAGGTAATAACAAATTTATTCCTTCCTCAGCCTTCTGGTCGTGGAAATCGTCCCCTCCACTTTGTAAAATTTTAACATTACGCCTACATATGGCGTTGCATGGAAAGAATCGACTTGAAATGGTCCTCGTCCCCTCCAAAATGGTCAATGTCCCCTCCAGTCGTCGCACCGTGGCGTCGCCCCTGTTCCCAACTACACAAATTTAGTCAAACAATGTGCCAATATGGAATTTTCAGGTTCAGTTGAATGAAATAGGAACAATGATAATTGTAGATTACGTATACCTGCAAGAGAGGAAAACAGAATACATTGTATTGCTTGTCCTTCACCGATACTGTTATTTTTCCATTTCTAGAAACACCGACATGGCGATGCAGGTGGTGCTGCCTGGTGAGGCCGCGGTCTCCGGAATCGCCTGCAGACGAAGTCGTCTGGCGTCCATCTGCACATCACTTGCAGCAGTGAGGCCTGCTGACAGCGTCTGGCAGTGTCGGCAACGTGCCAGACAGCTATCTGGAGTCCTGCTCACCGCAGGTCGCCGACAGGAGGGGCGACGCATCGTCTCCGAGGTCGCCTCAGCAGCAGTGAGACCCCACTGGCCGTCTTCTTAGGCTTCAACTAGATTGCGAACAACCTATGCTGAGACAACGCCCATGACGTGTGATCCGGTACCGCTACCACACTGCGTGCCTGTGCCCGCCGTGAGCCGCTAGTGCATGGGTTCAACCATGAGAATATGTGTTTATGTTGCTTTTACTATTGTTTATACGTTGAAGTGACGAATTGTTTATTTTTCGCAAGCCTCCGCTGTCCGGTTGCCTGCAGCTCCATGCAACGCCAGCTGTACTGTTGTTTTAATGTTGTCTTTCCGCTCAGCTGTACTGTTGCCTCTCCGCTCATAACAACCTATGCTGAGACAACGCCCATGACGTGTGATCCGGTACCGCTACCGCACTGCGTGCCTGTGCCCGCCGTGAGCCGCTAGTGCATGGGTTCGACCATGAGAATATGTGTTTATGGTGCTTTTACTATTGTTTATGCGTTGAAGTGACGAATTGTTTATTTTTCGCAAGCCTCCGCTGTCCGGTTGCCTGCAGCTCCATGCAACGCCAGCTGTACTGTTGTTTTAATGTTGTCTCTCCGCTCAGCTGTACTGTTGCCTCTCCGCTCATAACAACCTATGCTGAGACAACGCCCATGACGTGTGATCCGGTACCGCTACCGCACTGCGTGCCTGTGCCCGCCGTGAGCCGCTAGTGCATGGGTTCGACCATGAGAATATGTGTTTATGTTGCTTTTTATACTATTGTTTATATGTTGAAGTGACGAATTGTTTATTTTTCGCAAGCCTCCGCTGTCCGGTTGCCTGCAGCTCCATGCAACGCCAGCTGTACTGTTGTTTTGATGTTGTCTCTCCGCTCAGTTGTACTGTTGCCTCTCCGCTCATATATGACACCCTCTATATGAATGGCACTACTGATTGTCACACCCACTGTCCGTATTGTCCGTAGTGGTGTCTACGCCCATGTTCATACAGCGTGCAGAATCCAGATTCTATTGAGGAGAGTTGAGCCAAGTCACCATAGGCTCGGGAAGAGAGCAACGTGGAGGCCCACTGCCCCTTCCCCGGCCCCCACTGGGGGCGCCAGCCACTCCAACTTTTGACTGGATGTCAAGAGCGTCGCCACGAGGGGAACGAGTCGCCGGCCAGCCAAGGTAGCTAACGGCGTGTGAAGGTTGCCTGACCTCGAGGAAACTGAGATGGCACCAACGGTTTTGTTAAGTAGGCGACCAAAATTCGAGCGGCAGCAACCTGGGCACCTTCACAGATAGCAGTGCCGCGTATCAGGGCGCCTTCGACGTTGAGCTGGGCGCCGATCATCAGGACGCCGGGGGAATATGACCCAATATCCCCCGTAAATATGTGCCTCGGAAGGGAGACCCAACCATAAAACTGAAAGCTCGCCGTATTTTATCCACTATTTTTCGAGCAGGTCCATAGATTTCCGTCCTCAAAAGTGCGGGGATATTCCCCAGTGTTTGAGTTGGATGGGAGTCTATAGTGGCGTTTACACCGACAGGAGATTCCCATTGCCGGCTGTGGGAAACTACTGTCGGTGTAAAACTGTAAAGCCATTCATATTTCCTGCGTCACCCCTGTAGGGACGCCCTTACTCCAAGGTGCCGAGCTTATCAATTTGGATATCAATGGAATCAAAATCTCTTATCGATCGATGACCAACGTAATTCAACTAAACAAGGGTAGGTATCGTTCCAATGCCAATGTATGTATTGCTGCAGAACATGGTCAGAGTACTCATTATTACACCATAATGCACGCAAAAAACGAACACTTTAAATGCGCGAAGCATCTTAACGAGCCACAATGAAACATTTGTGATTTGACATTGTTCCAGCTGGTATCCAAGACGCGTTTGATTCAGCATTTCACCCAATTTTCAGTTTTCCTCACGGTTTCCTCACTTCTGCTGGAAGAGGACTCCATAATCTTTATTCTTACTTCTGACGCTTCACCATCTTCATCCTCAGCTTTTTCAAACCGTAAATAAGGGGGACCGGGGAAGAAGGGAATTTCATCTTTCATACGCAACGCCGCCCAATAATGAAAAACACAAAAAAAAAAATAGTCACGGTGACTATAAATATGAACATAGTATTAATGTAATATTAACACCACATTAAGAATAAAATAAATAATATCAAATGAATATGAAACTAACTGTTGCGCCGGTACGGCATGTGGTAAATCTCTTCCCAACCAAGGCCATATAACCATAACCTTCCCAACCTTGGGCTGTGAAAATGCAGTTTTATTCACCTCGGTTTTTTGCTACGGACCTCGTGCCTACCGGCACTCGGTCCTCCGCACAAAAACCTCGGTGAATAAAACGCATTTTCCCAGCCCCGGTCGGGAATATATATTATCGTTGCTGACGTCTGTGATTTACCTGATATTTTTACTCTTCATCCAAGAAGCGAAGACTTAATTTAAGCATGTGACCCACTGACTTCCATACTTTACCTAGACCGCCATCTTGCCGAACACGCCGTGCCCACACTGGCGGCCGGCTGGGGGGCAAAACATCGTGTGTCAGCATTGTGGGTATTGGCGTTTGAGGTGATTTAAAATGGTAAAATCGTGTGCTGCTTATGCGTGTAGCAACCGACTAGGTGCGGTAAATGAAGATGGAAGCAAGGTGAACTTCCACAGGTAAGATTTTTAGGATTAATGGCTTATTTTTTTAATTATGCAGCGATTTATTGAAGCATGTTTCGTCACCGAGCGTCTCCTGGGGTCATTGCTATTTTGTGATGAATCTGCGGACACAAATAGTTTGAATCCATTTCTGGATATTTCTTTCACCTTGAATTTATATTGGATTAATTGAACGAAAAAAATATATTACTGGCTTGCCACTATTGGTCCTGGAAAACAGTTTTTGCTGCTGATTGTGATGTGCTGAGGAGTGCAGGATGTATCTTAAATGATTTCTTTCATTGGTATTTGTGTTAAACTGACTAAACTGTTTTCTATATAATTTTCTGATATTTCCAAATATATCTTTAAAAAACTTAAATGTAACAAGACCCACCACCATTGTACATATTTTGTAATCCTAATGCCTTGCCGTTGAAATGGTACCTAGGTAGGTACTGATCATCTGGTGGTGATGCACAGTATCACTTCTTTTTATGACAATACTAGCAATTGGGGCACTATTCTTGGAAACTACCCTGGCAGATCCAGGCAGGGGTTGCATGGGCCCTGCTCTAGCCCTCCCCTATTTGTATTCCACACGTGACTAAATATTTTCCCTTCTTGTTGTTGATGTCCATTGGGCTCATCTAGCTATAGTATTTTAGCCTTTTTGGTATTTTTTTTGGGGGGTCCGCTTCTTCACAAATGTGTAAGCATGTTCAGTAGGGTGACAGCTATTTTTACATCATTTTTTTTTCTTTTCAAAATAAAAAAGGCAGTTCATTTTCTGGTTCTATTTACCTTTAAAAAAATAACTCCAAAGTTACAGCTCGATACAATAATTTTAAGGCGTGCCTCCTCGCGCTTAAAGTTGAACACCCAACACGTTTGGGCACATTCGTATTCTCCGCATTTGTCTCGGGTAGAGTTGGTAAAGTACACATTTGCGCTGGCAGAGCTACCTCAAAAGGACAACCGTAATCCATTTAGACTTATAGGTAGATCGAGGGGCAAGTAGCCTTTGCCCCATCGCCCCTAAGTCGCCCAAATTCCGATAAAACTTGGCATATTTCTTGCTTTTTAAGGAAAACAAAGCAACTCTTATTAATATTGGATTTGCTGTTTGTTTTTTATATCAAATTTATTTGATAATAAAATATTAATTACAAAGGTCATCCTTGATCAATACTCGTACTATACTTACAACTTTTGATAAATGTATAGTTCTTGTAAGATAAAATTTTACAATTGTACCCATATTTTCAAAACCACCTCCTTTTTCAATACAAAACTATTTAAAATATGCTAGCATGCTAAATTGTCGGCAATAACTGTACAAATGTCTTTAAATAATGGTCTTGGGAGCGTCAGCAATGAAGCAGAAGCAAGCAGAACCTGAAGCAGAAGCAAACATAATATATGAAGCAAGCAGATGCACACAAACGACCACTGAAGCACTTCAACGCCATTACCTGCGATGATCACGAATTGAGGTACGTATACAGCTCGGGGAAACTTGGGAGCAATGTGAACTTTGTGTAATGTAGCCTTAGATCTTATCGTGCCATTAAAGAGCATCATTTATATTTCAGAGAACGTTGTTGTATGCGTTAATTTCGCGGTATTGATACATGTATTTACCCTATCTGGTCCATTCGCAGATATGGCGACTCCAACAACGAGGAAAAAGACGCTTATACCGCTTATCGGCCATCCTGATGACAGATTGATGAGTGGAAGTCAACTGCCATCACGCGGTGAGGCCCTCCGTCGTCTCTTCCATATCATCCGTCACGACAGGCAGTTGACTGTGAAGGCCGCGGCTGAATGTACCGTCGGAGAGATACTGGAGGTCTGGAATATCGCCCGCATCCCTACTCATGAACGAAAGGTTTGTGTAAGTAAGCTGATATCTCTTCATGGCCACTGGCGCATGCTCATGCGTAATAAGAAGAAAATGACGCCCGGTCCAGTCGCTCGGCGCGAGATCTGGAAAAAGAGTCTGGACAATCTTTTCGATATTGCACACCAAAGGGCCCTCGAACTAATGAAGAACCATGAAGACAAAGAGTTCCTCATTGCACAACGTGAGGAGGGCCGCCGAGGAAAAATGATGGGCGTCGATCGGCAGCTGACTGAGCTTGAACGGCGGCAGTTGAAGCGCGCCTCCGAAGCCAGCGATCGTAGGACTCGGGAACAAGAACGCACGTCGGAGATCAGCACTGTTGAGCTCTCGTCTAGCTCCAGTTCCTCAAGTCCCTGTCGCAAGTCAGCGGTGTCTGATGCTGATGACGAACCTCAACCATCAACTTCTGCCACCTGCCCAGTGCCGCCGAAGCGCCGTCGCGGCAGGAAGAAGATAATTTCGCCAACCGTCGCCGCTGCCCTGGACCGCACAGGAATCAGCGACCGCCAGACAGTGTATGTCTTGTCGGCGGTGGCCGAGACACTCGGGCACGACGCCTCTGAACTCATTGTGAATCGAGAGTCAATCCGGCAATCCCGGCGGAGGCACCGGAAGCAAGCCGCTCAGGACATCAAGGCGTCATTTGCGCCAGACGTTCCTCTCGTTGTACACTGGGACGGGAAGCTGGTTCCCGACACCATGACCAGTGGAAGCAGGAAAGTAGACCGTCTTCCAATTTTGGTCTCTGGGGACGGCGTCGCCAAGCTGCTGTCCGTCCCCAAGCTCGAGATCGGCAGTGGAGAGGCGATGGCAAACGCTGTTGTGGAAGCCCTCAAGGATTGGGGGATTGCAGACCAGGTAGTGGGTATGTGTTTCGACACGACGGCATCAAACACAGGCCTGCGATCAGGGGCTTGTGTGCTGATCGAGCAGCAGCTCGGCCGCGAGCTGCTGCCTGCTGCCTGCAGGCACCACGTGCTTGAGCTCATCGCCGCGAAGGCCTTCGGGATCTGCCTCAACACCCCATCGTCTGGGCCGGATATCCCACTGTTTAAACGGTTCCGGGACAAGTGGGACTGCATCAAGCATGACGAATATGCGCTTATGAAAGACGACCAACTCACAGACATCATCAAAGACTCCCGGGACGACCTGATCGCGGGTTTCAAGCTCCATCTGTCGCAGCACCAGCCTCGTGACGACTATCGTGAGCTCCTGGAGCTCTCTATCATCACGCTCGGCGGGGTACCTGACCGTGGCATTCGATTTCGACGGCCTGGAGCTCACCACCACGCACGTTGGATGGCCAAAGTAATTTACGCCCTAAAGATCTACCTCTTCCGGGGTCAAGCAGGCCTCACCGCCAAGGAGAACGCCGGCATCCTCCGATTCGTCAAGTTTGCCTTGTCGGTCTACATTCCCGCGTGGTACACCGCGCCGAGCCCAACATCGGCCCCTAAGAACGACCTCGCCCTTCTGAAGACGTTGGCCGGGTACGAGGACAAGTCCCTCGCCAAGACGCTCCTCAGCGGCTTCGCCCGACGTCACTTGTGGTATCTGAGTGAGAGCCTCGTCCCGTTGGGGTTCTTTGACGAGAGCCTACCACTGCATGAAAAGCGGGCCATGGTTGAGGCCCTCGCCTCGAACGAGGGTTCGGAGGACATCACCAAGCGGGCAGTCGTTGAGCTCAGCGCAGACCTGACGCAGAAGACCCTCGCAGACTTTGTGACCACATCGTCGCGGACGTTCTTCGTCACCCTTGGAATTGACGACGGCTTCCTCGAGACCGACCCTGCCGAGTGGCATGACGACCCCCGCTATGTCGCCGCAGCGGGGAAGGCCAACGGCATCACGGTGGTGAACGACTTCGCCGAGCGTGGCGTCGCTCTGATGGAAGCCTACAATTTGACCCTCACCAAGGATGAGGACCAGAGGCAGTACATCCTGCAGGTGGTGGAGGCACACCGTGGGAATTTTCCGAACGCTAACAAAGGCACCGTCACCCGGCAACTGCAGTAATGCGCGATAGCATTCGACCGCAGATACTCAGAGTTGTCAGGAGGTCGAAGTTTTCCAACTGCCACAAGACCCATTGAGACTTTTTATCGTTTTACAATACATCACTAGTGTCGTGTACCAGTTTTTGTTTTATAATTGCATCGTTATGAACAGCTGAGAAACTCTGCTTATGGTTTACATACCATAAAGATATGTAACTGCTGGCCCAATGGCTAAAAGCGTACACATTCAAGTTGGAGGAGGCACGGTTAAATGTAATCCGATCGGGATGAAACTTTGCATGTGATGTTTTTATGCTATATGGAACCATAAAATTAACTGCCTTTTTGCTTTTTCGAAAATCAGAAAATAAGTGTCACCCTAATGTTCAGTGAATGTGTATGCAAGAGGTTTGAGAACACTTTCAAGGCACTGCTCATTTAATGTAGGGTGATATGCCCCTTACCTTTGTTGCAATAAAATTGATACATTTTATTTGACATTTGATCAAGTTAATGCTCCCTGTTATGACCTATAGCCTGTATGGTTGGATGCTTAGGCAATTGTATGTGATATTCTTATTTCCTGGTTTCAGGCTTCCAGCTGATCCAGAGAGGCTGAAGAAATGGATACATGCCATGAAACGGAAAGACCTCACAGTGGAAAAAGTGGTGAAGGGAAGCTCCTATCTGTGCAGTCAGCATTTCATAGAGGATGATTATACACAAAACGAAAAGAAACGTGTGTTGAAGGAGGATGCTATACCTTCTATCTTTGCTTTTCCGGAGTACATGAGGGTAAAACATCAAAAGAGGAAGCCCTCTGAAAGGGTTGCAGCCTCAAGCTCAAAACCAGAACCTGCACAGCTACTTGCTGATCATACCTATCATGGAGCAGAGAAGAGCACCAGTGATTTGGAGAAAAGGGAAGAAGTGCTGGTACAGAAGCTGAAAGGTGTCCGAAAGGAAAGAAAACTTCTCCGCCAGAAGGTGCAGAGGCGAGACGCACGTCTAAAGAATCTACATGCGACTATTGCTGCTCTGAAAGAGAGCAACCTTGTGAGTGGTGACATGATGGCGGTCTTGCAGGCTAGGTTTGAGAACCCAGTGGTGGCAAGTCTATTTCAAAATGAAGTTGTGAATGCCTCAAGGAAGAAGCAAGGTCGCCGGTACTCAGATGAGATCCGCCGGTTCTGTTTGACCATCAACTACTACTCGTCCCGTGCCTACAGCTTTCTTGCCAAAAATTTTGCCTTACCCAGCAAGTCATCGATGAAGGATTGGACACGGAGTGTGGACTGCAATGTTGGAATCCTAACCGAGGTAACCTCAAAGCTGAAGGATCTTGTCAAGGCTGGAAAGATTGATCCAAACTGTTCTCTCATGGTTGATGAGATGTCCATCAGAAAGGCAGCAGTCTACAGTCACACCGAGGACAATAGAGGTGGCAAAAGATGAAAATTTTGGGAACCAGACTCGAACCAGACCCGGCTGGACATTTCTGGAACCAGTCGGACCCGGTATTAGTTGGAATCGGAACCAGTTGGACCCGTTCCCCAAAAGTCAATTAATACAAACTACGGTATCATTAGTTGCATCATGTAAAACAGCCTATTTCCCACTGGGAATACTCCTGAGCTACTGTGTGCAAAGACACATTCACTTCATTCACTTCATATTTTGCAATAATGTGCAGTGTGCAAGATGTATAGTTTATGGTGGGACCCGGTTGGACCCGTCAGAAAATTTTCAGGAACCGGTCTGGACCCATATGGGTCCAGACTGGTTCTTTGGACCGGGTCCTCGGGTCCACAATTTGCCACCTCTAGAGGACAAGTTTGTAGGTCATGTTGACCTTGGTGCAGGAGATGTTGAGGATGGTACACTAGCAACAAGTGCTCTCATGTTCATGGCTGTGGGCCTGAAGGGCCAGTGGCGCCATCCAGTGGCCTACTACTTAATGAACCATGCATCAAGTGAAACACTGGCAGAACTCTCAAAGAGTGTACTCTGTGAACTGGCTGAAGCAGGACTGACTGTGAGGGTGATGGTGGCTGATGGACTGAAGGCCAACCTCACAATGTTTGCCAACTTGGGTGCCTCTGTGGATTTCAAGAAATTGAAACCTGGTGGCAAAGTGAAAAACTTCTTCAGTCATCCATCTACTGGGGAGCGTGTGTATATTCTGCTTGATGTTGTACACATGATCAAGCTTCTCAGAAATCTACTGGGCGAGTACCATACCATCCTTCTAGACGGAGAAACGATCTCATGGAAGCATATACAGGTGGGTTTAACTGAGTCTGTTTGCAGTTGCAACAAAGTTTTTTCTGATGGGAATATGTGATCCTAACAGATTTCATACTTTCTGTCCAAATCATAAGGGAGCTGGATTAGCGTAAGATTAATAATGGGAGGGGTCAACATTACGTTAAGCATGTTTTCTTCCATTCCACTCTCTGCCATGCACATACATCACATCAAGACAAGTTGGTGTGTGAATTTTTGGCCTCATTTAATTTGAATTATGTAGGTTACTGAAATCTTTGTTATTTTTACATCATAGTATTTTTTTTTAAATCATTACAAACTTTTGTATGAATACTGTTGCAAGCATGCAGTTGGATATGCAATTAGAATCTGAAAACCAAAGGGGGGTCTGAACTCTTGAGTTGATATCCAATGAAATGCACCTATTCTAACTGTTTTGATCTTTACTTGATTTCAGGCTCTGTATGATCTGCAACATGAGGAGGGCATCAGGGCTGGCAACAAACTCTCCCGGAAGCATGTTGAGTACAGCCAAAACAAGATGAAGGTGAAGCTGGCTGTACAGGTTTTCAGCAGTTCTGTTGGAAAGGCTCTGCACTTCTTGGCAGATGCTGAGCATCCTGGCTTTGAGGAAGCTGGTCCAACTGCCAAGTTCCTTCTAACTGTTGACAGAGCTTTCGACTTCATGAATGGCAGCAGTCCATTTGGGAAGGGCTATAAGGCTCTACTCACCCCTCAGAACCTTGAGTAAGTAACTTGCAGTGCTGCTATGCATTGCTGTCAGCAAGTGCACTGTAATAGGATTTTGGGGTCCACCATTTTGTTTTATTTGGCTGGTTATCCAAGATATTGTTATACTGTTTTGACATGCAGCTGTGTCGCGGGTTTTCCGAGCATCCCGGCCGTCATTTGGACTTTGGAGTTCACAGCCATCGTGACTGATAAAGACGCTGTTTTTTGCATTGCAAGCTGCATCGTTGTTTCGTGTTGTGACGTTTAACGTTAGTTGTGACTTGATAGTTGAAAGTATTTTTTCCTCAGGATACCTACTGAAATTAAAGTGAATAGTTTTTCAGAGATATCCAAGACGATAGAAACGTAATAAAGAAGTCATAAATACTGTCAATTACTTTATTGTATAATTACCTACTGTAATTAAAAAGTAACTGCAGTAGATCTAATCTCTTGAATGTCACCGAAAATAGACTACTACGTTTTAAATTATTATGGTGTCGTACATATTTGTTTTGCCGAATACCAGGCACAGGCTTCGTTACCATGTTATATTGTTGTGCCATTAGCCCTCCCCTCCCTTTCATTCCGTCTCGCTTTTCGCACAGGAAAGTGACGCAGAAGACTAGTTCGTGGCGGGTATTAAAATAATATTATGTGTCTGTTTTATGTTTCGACGTGCGGTATTGGACGAGTTCGCCGCCATGCTGCAGAGACTGACAACTGTGGATGGCCGACCGCTACTGCAGACAAAGCGGTACACCGCCATCCTGGGACTCGTGCTGGCATCCCAAACCACCATCGACGTCGGCGAGCTCCTGCTACAGGAAGCTGGATTCTCATTTGTTCTTCCTTATCGCATGTCCCAGGACCACTTGGAGCTTCACTTCGGGAGAATCCGTCGGATGGGTGGGCTTAACAACAACCCAAACGCAGCGCAGCTGAGACAGGCAATGCGGAAGCTCATCTTACATAACTTTATAACCCCGTCCTTTTCGGGCAACTGTTGTGTGCGTGACGAGGAAGACGACGGTCTGCTCACGTGGCGTCGTCCAAAGAGTCGGGGAGTGACTCCTGAGGCTGATTCGGGTATGCCTGCGGTAGTGCAGCATGTGCTAGGGCAAACCGTTCCATCAGACTTCCTGCAAAACTGTACTGCCTACGTCGCGGGTTATGTGTGTCGAAAGTTGGTGGAGGAAAAGCGTGTGCGCTGTGCTGAGTGCATTGAGGCTATCCAAGCCAATTATCGTGATCCTCCGCCAGCCGAGCTCATTGAGCTGATCAAAGTCCGTGACAACGGGGGCCTTATCGTCCCTTATCGTCCCTTCGGCTCTGAAGCTGACAAGAAACGGGCATGGGGACACCGGTGTTTCGCAAATTGGGAGATCTTGGCGGCAGCGAAGAACATGATCTCTCGCGCTTGTTCTTGTGCGACTCACAACGGGGGCCATCTGACTAAAGTGGTGCTCTACGCATGAAAATACAAAATTTCAGTTCATCCTCTTTCTTTTGAGGCATCATTTGCCTTAATCGGTGAAATAACAAGATCACACGACAAAAATAAAAGAGCTTCAAGACTTCTGGGACACCCTGTATTTATTGACCCCCCTGGCGACAAATTGGGGGGCTAAAAACAAGAAAATCATCCTAAGCTAATACATTCGATAAAGAAGCTAGTATTTTGTGCAAAAAAAAGTTTGAAATTTTGACTAAAAATAAGTTGGGCACTAATGGGTTAAATAAATACTTTTGAAATGCATTTACTAATTAATTTCACAAAAACGGCTTGAAATTTTACAACGTCAAAATACTTATTCCAATTTCCAACATGAAACCACCACTATAATTCTGGATTACTTGCTTACAGAACCGTGCGCACAGTGCGCGCAGTTTTATCGTGACGTCAGAGGGTGCTTCCTCAGTGGCGCCCCCTGGCGGGGAACACGTGCAAAAAGTCCAGCTCTTAGGCATATCCGTCGCATCGGGCGGCAATCCTCTGAGCCGGCCAATCAGCTGGCGGCCCTGGCCCTGTTTCACCGGTGATAGCAGCACGCTGCTATCACACGTGTCAAATTGGATTTCCATGGAAACATCAACAAACCATGCCGTCGTCAATTTGT